TATTAGTTTCACCTTTTAAGTTGCATTACTGAAATAAATGAACTTTTACATGATATTCTAATTTTTTGAGTTTCAACTGTATACACAGTCAGTATAATACAGTCTATGTGAGAGAATACATATGATTGATAAAATTGTTAACAAAAATTCTATGTGGGTTCTTTTTTTATCATCGTCCCTCTTCAGTCAAAAGTTTTATTAAAAATTTTTTATTTAAGTTTGCATTGCCTGATAGTCTAGTAAAATTTGAAATCATTTAATATTCTCTAATAATCTTTAGTGCGGTTTTCCATCTTCTTCAATATTCTGCATAGTAAGTTTTACTGTAACACTCTACATATTTTACCGCTTTCCCAGATACTGAATGAGGAAATTTAACTTATTGCTCCCAAGTTATGATGTTGCTGAAAATGTAGTGACAAGTTTTGCTTTATTACCACAGATACATTATCTTAATGGACAGAAGGGGTGTGCGGTCTTGTTTTTTGTTCCAGTGATATATTCTTTGAAGACATTTGTGCCCTTTTCCTGTTTTAGACAAAAGGGCAGAAAAAAATATCCCCCACAATAATAAATGTGAATTTATAGGCAGTTATGCTTTCCATATAACTGAGTTCTCTCTTTCCATTTCTATTGAGAGAAATATACCAAGGTCATACCCTTTTCTGAGCCATAAAATAGCATGTTTGTATTTGGTTAAGTATCCACTGTCATGGGTAAACAGTTTCTTTCCATATTAAATACTACTATTAGAAGGCACTTTTTATCCAGTCAGATCCAGACAAGTTCTCTCCTTTTGTCTCATATAGTGAGTGCAGTGGCTCAACAAGTCTTGTGGAACTGTCTCATTGAAGATCCATCCACAGTTCTTCGACATTTCCTGGAGAAACTCACTATCAGTAATCGGCAGGTAAAGGTTCCGCTTTCCATAAACACATGTATAAGAACTCAGTCAAAACCCTCTTCCAGGGGAGAGTAACTTAAAGTCCCAGGATATTGTTTGTTTGTTTGTTTGACATGTATCCCAATCACAATCTAAGGACTATCAGTTGTTTCTATAGTATATAATATAACAATCAAAACATCCATGATATATCTCAAAGATAACAAAAAACAGAAAAATAAAAGTAACAGCAACAAATAAAAAAAATGAAAACAAGTAAAAGATGGCATAGTTTTTAGTTTAGAAAAAGTGCTTACTTTTTTTTCAACATCTCCCTAATGGTCAACAGCAATGTCTCAGCCAAATATCCACAGGGAGACTATTTTATGTTAGTTCACCCTCCCTCACCTCTCAGAAGTGTGGGACCAAAAATAGTTTCTTCCTAAAGGAACTAATGAGTTAGATTTATTATAGCAAGAGTAGGCACTCTTCATGATACCCAGGTGCCATGCCACGAAGGGCTAAATAGTCAACACCAGCATATTAAATTGTACCCAGAGACCAAATGGCAACCAATGCAGAGTTTGCAGAATCAGTATTACAGTATATACTTGCAGCACCAATTGGCAATTTCTGAGTAATTCAGAAATTGAGGGTAACTCATTTAAAGTACTACATATTGCAGTACTCCATCTGGGTAGTAAAGTTGAGTCATTCTGTACTAGAAGGATTCCAGAAGGATTCCTGTATTATTAATCAGCTCCTTCACCTGCTTCTTAGTGAATGCCCATAGAGATAATCCTGGTGTTGACAGAAAACCCTAATGTGCATATAGCAACTTCATCTCATTTGGATGGAAGAAAACAGCTACAGTCTGTTCTTTTCCATCCAGACCCTCACAGCCTCTAGACATCAAGGCATGACATTGAGAACAATTCTCTTGCAACACAGTGGCAATATAAAGTTATTATAGCAACTATTATAGTTGTTAAAGTGGTGGTGGGCAAAGACCACCATTGTTTATGTGTGTGTATCTTTACAAAGTCATTGAGACTTCTCAGGTCACCCAGTTGTAATGTTTAATGTAACAAATGGGGAAAATATTAAAAGTAATCCTGTACTAAATAAATTGCATTTAAATTAAATTTTATCCTGGCCCTGTTCATATTGAAGCATGGCTTCTAACAGGTGGAGCAAAGATGAAATCTGGCCCTTGGCAAAAAAACCCCAAACCCCAATGTGTTCCTGTCTTAGTTGGAACTAACAATAAAGAATAATTTATTAAGGGATGAATAGGTCTCAGATTTGTACTGCCCCCCCCCTCCTTTTGCTTCATCAGCATAGTTGCAAGGAAAAGATGAGGAAAATATATCTGTCTAAAATTCACTTCAGATTAACTTGACTGAATCCAAATAAATAGCAGTGAATCTTTACTATGTTTTATTGAAACAATCCAGCTTTAAATTTATGACTTGTAAATTATACTTGTAATTATAAACCATGTTTCACATTAACCAGATACAACTGAGAGACTTGTATTAGAATTCACTGCATTCAGTTTAAAATGAAGGCAGCATCTCTGGTCTCCTGCCAATGCCAGAGAAGGATGCTCAAGGTTCATTCAAGTTAGAGACAAATTAGTTAATATCTAATACAATAAAAGAACATAAGGAGTTCCAACATTTGAAGATAAGATTAGACTTTTATCAGACTAGGGTTCTGTTCAGATGTTCTGATTAAGTTTTACATCTCTCCTGTATGAAAAAGCTCTCCTGTGTTATTTATGGAGCAACATTCATAATACTGCAACTTGTAAGGATTTTAATTGTATGTTACCTTACAGTACAATAATTGATTCCTGTGCAAGTAGTGAAATTGACTGCTTCTGCTCTAACTGCAGGATGAATTGATGTATATGCTGAGGAAACTTTTATTGAACATTGGAGACTTTCCTGCTCAAACGTCCCATATCCTCTTCAATTACTTGGTAGGTTCTTCGGAAACCTGGGCAGAACCCAAACTGTAAGCATTAATGATGCCCTTATCCAAAGCACAGGCAATTGTGAATTTTGAATTAATCATAATTAGTGTCACATTCGAGAAAGAAATATACCTCCTGCACAATTTTTCTTATAGTCAATACGTTTTCTAGGTATTTGGCTTTGATTTTCTGAAGATCAAAAATGTAACTAAATTTCTCTAGTGTATACATTGAACTTTGGGCAGTTATATTTTGAACCATTAATGCTCAGCTTCATCCAGTTGCTCTGACTCTATCCCAAATAGGGATTAGGTAAACGTAAAGGTTCCCTTCGCACGTATGTGCTAGTCGTTTCTGACTCTAGGGGGCGCTGCTCATCTCCATTACAAAGCTGAAGAGCCAGTGCTGTCCAAAGACATCTCCATGGTCATGTGGCCAGCATGACTAAATGCCAAAGGCACATAGAACACTGTTACCTTCCCACCAAAGTGGTCCCTATTTTTCTATTTGCATTTTTACATGCTTTTGAACTGCTAGGTTGGCAGAAGCTGGGACAAGTAACAGGAGCACACTCTGTTATGCAGCACTAGAGATTTGAACCGCCAACCTTTCTGATTGACAAGCTCAGCATTTTAGCCATTGAGCCACCATGTCCCTCGAATAAGGATTACAGGGTTGTAAAAAGGAAGGGTTTTTTTAATTCAGCCATTTCTTCTTGCTGAAGAAGTTACTCCTTGTGGTAATCAATCTATGATGTGTATTTCAGAGTTAGCATGTACCTTTCCAAAAAATATTATTTGTGTGTGCTGCCACTCCTATTTCATTCTTAAAGTTAAGATCAAATCTGAAATGCTCAGAAGTGGATAATATTTTTATCCTAACTTCTTCAAGAATTTGGAGCACAAATTAGATGTACAGAAAGCTTTGAAATCTGTATAAAGCATACTACCTCCTTTTTCTGGTTTACTGCCTCTATTTGTCTCACAGAATAATAGAATTGGGGAGTGGGAAAGTAACATAAAGATCCAGCTCTCTGCCATGCACAGGAAAACCAATGAATCTACCTTCAGCAGTATCTGTTCATCTCTTCTTTGAAACAATGAGATGGGCAGTATATAACATTTAATTAATAAATCAAATAAATAAAAATAGCTGTAATTTTTGATATTGGCACAGTTATATACACCATTTTTAGTAGAATTTAATAGTTTCACAATTGTCATATGATCAGATTGCCTATCATGTTTTCTTCACTCTTCTTTGAAAAATTAGCAGTACACACTGTGAAACTGGGGAAAGTTTCTACTTTTCATAAAGTTGGATTTGATTGATAAAAATATTATTTTTTTCATTCTGCTGGGAACCAAATAAAATGGTTTTTCACAATTGTACGTGCAGAGACTACTGAGAGGAGGCTTTGAAGCAACTTAATTAAACTAGAAAAAGATGTGGTTGTGTCAGTCATTTGGTGCTTTGTTCCCATGTACTGCAGAGCATCTCTTTCAAAGCTTTAATGTTAACCTTGCCATAACATTTTCTAGCATTTTTTTTGCAGTGGGCTTTCTTCATTTGAACTTTATGGAGAAGGTAAAAGTGAGATTGATATTATAGGTGTCTTCTAATTTTTTTAAAAACTCCATCATGGCATTTTAATTAAGTTTGTAAATTATTCCATATTTTCCTTTGATATGAATGGCCACCCAGATTTTCAATGCACAAAATAAAATTACTGACTGAGAAAGACTGGCTCTATCTTATACATATTCATATTTATCACTAGCTATCTACTTAGCTTCTTCTGTAGATTGGAATAAAAATTGTGTACTTTATGATTCATAGGTGGGACTGATCATGTATTTTGTGCGCACACCATGTGAATGGGGCATGGATGCCATTTCAGCCACTCTGACCTTCCTTTGGGAAGTGGTGGGCTATGTAGAAGGACTGTTCTTCAAAGATCTCAAACAAACTATGAAGAAGGAACAATGTGAGGTGAAGCTTCTGGTTACTGCTTCAATGCCAGGTATGGAAGGCATTATTTTTATTTGCCTAGGGGTTTTTTTCTGGCATTTGATCTTTATTATGTAATAATAATAATAATAATAATAATAATAATAATAATAATAATAATAATAATA